ATTTTTTTATTTTTTGTTCTCCGTTTAGACACCATAATGGAAATATTATCTCTGAGTGGATATTCCTGAAATTATATTTTTCGATTAATGGGGTCGACTTAAATGGCCCTAAAAAGCCCAAACCATGAAACTAAACCGGAGCCAAACCGTTAGTAACGGTTCGGTTTGGTTCGATTTTCTTTTTCAACTGTTCGGCTTCGGTTTTCGATTAACAAAAACCGTTCTAACGATTTGGCTTTGGTTTGACCTAAAAACCATAAAAAACAGGATCATGAACACCCTTAGCATGTGGTAGTTAGTGGAGGTCGTGGTGGTAGAGTTTGGATTTGACTTTTTTAAATATGTGAATTAGTTTAATTGATTGTATTATGTTATGTTGTAAATTGTACGTATTAAACTAAAAATGGATTGTATTAAATTGTATATTTTATATAAATTTTGTGTTAAAATATTAATGAAGGTATACATGAAAATATTAAACTATGTTTTAATGAATTAATATATTTATTAAACTGTGAATATATTATTTTAAGCTGTAAATACCATGTATATACGAAATATTTTTTAAAGAAATCTACAATTTAGAAAAAAAAAATATGTGAATTTGTCACGGTAAAATTCTATTTTTTTCTAAAATTTTGCATGCTTTGGCTGGAAAAATAAAAAGTATTAGCAAAGAAAATGGGAATTACAATCTTTGTTCTATTAAGTTGTGATTACGACCAGAAAAACATCACTGAATTTAATACTAGTACGGCAGCGGTCCGACGATGATCCAGCGACGGGGCGGCAGTCCGACGGTGGACTATCGACAAGTAGCAAGTAATTTGTAAACTAGATAATGAAAAAGTTTGCTTAATACAATATAAATATTGAATTAGTCCAAAACGGCATTAATGATAACATTTAAAAAATGGTTCTTAAGGCTTTTAACCTTTTTGGATTCTTATTTGAACAAATATATATATATATATATATTATATATATATATATATATATATATATATATATATACATATATATATAAAGAGAGAGAGAGATTAAATTACAAGAACGGTACCTATGGTTTGGCGTAATTTGCTTATTTAGTCCCTAACTTTTCTTTAAACTCGTACCATCCTTATGTTTTGTTTTTGTTTCACATTTAGTCCGTGATTGTCTTGAAAAGACAATACTACCCTTATTAGATTTTTTTTGTATTTTCTTTGTTTTTTCTATTTAGGCATTTCTTTTATTATCACAAAATTAGTAAAGGAATATACATGGACTCCAAAGCGTGCACCCAACTTCTCCATTCTCAATAATCAAATGAAGGCAGTCCCAAACACCATTGCTCATCTCTTTTCTGGACAACGTCAGTAAGCAACATCGACCAAACATCATGCGCCAAAGGAGAACCCAAATCAGGTGAAAACGAAATCAAACCCCATATTAGATATCATCTTCAACATGTTCACCAGGGAAGTCATCTTCAACAGGGCTCTGTAATTCAAGAGGGATATTCTGTAAAACCAAAATCTGCCATCAAATAAAGTAAATCAGATGTCATACATAATTATGATTCATGAGGGATAATACCTAAAACCCAAAGGACAATAAATTATAATTCAAGAATTTAATTAGATTCAAACCTTCGTTATAGGTATCTGTTTTCAGATGGAAGAATCCGATGGTGTAGTTCTTTGAATTTTGGGGATGCAGAAATTCTTGACGGAACCATCTGGAAAAGAGCTTATTCCCCGATTTGAACCACCATCAATTTCACTTAAGCCCCCATCCACTGTCTGCAATCCATTATCCGAAAACGGGTTTATATCTGACCTGAACTACCATTTGGAAACAGTTTTCTTACCCAATCTAAAGGTGGAAAGAAGTTGTAAGCTTCTGGAGTTAGAATGGTTCGTCGAAAACAACCAAGGAACCACCGCAATCTAGGGTTTGTTCGTCGGAAGAGGATCTGCAGAACTCTGTCGTTTCAAAAGGGGTTTGGTTTTCAAATTTGTTAAAGGTTCTAAAACTCGATATTGGTGGCTGTCGTGGTCGCCTAACTTAAACCAATGGTGATCGTCGGGATTTAATCGGGGTGGTCGATTCTTTCAAGGATGTAAAAGCGACATGAGAGAGAGATTGGAGGGGGGAACAAAGAATTGCAAGTTCCAAGGTTTGAGTTGTCTGCCACATTTGTTTTTTTTTAATTTATAAATAAAAGCAAAAACAATAAATTAATAAAAAAATAAATAAGTAAATATAGAAGCGTAATATACTAATTTTAGGTTTGTTAGGGACCAAACGCAAAACAAAAACAAATCATAAGGATAGTCCCAGTTAAAAAAAATTAGGGACCAAGCGTACAATTTATCCCAAAACATAGGGACCATTGATGTAATTTACCAATATATATAATATATAATATATATATATAAGATATATATATATATATATATATATATATTATATATAATATATATATAATATGAGACGGTTCACTCGAGATTAAAAA